TACATGCCCGATATGGACGCATCGCTATCTACTGTACGATTAGATTAGATGGGCGGCAGCGCACGGCACAGCTCGGGCTCCGCTGACACAGCCGCTCTGACTCACCGGCCCCCGGGGCCGCGTCGGCATGCTGCGCACAGACCAGCTGCGCACGGACCAGCGCGCACAGCCTGCCCTAAACATCCCCTGTATATAAACCGGCCTCTGCTGCCCTAGGGACCTCAGTTTCGACCTCTTGTCCCTAGGTCAGTAAGCTCCCACTTGTATCCCTTACTTACCTTTGCTAACTAATATACTTTCTTGTCCCTAGCCTTAGGTTTGAGCCTCGCTCACCATCGCTTCGGTAAGAACTAGTCGGACGCCCCCAGCCCTTCAAGGTTTTCTCCAGTCGCTCGACCTCAAGTCGCGACAGCTACCTCCGAGATGCTTCCATCTTTATTGAGGGTGCCGTCGATATTGTACAGCGGAATTGGCTCCTTCAATTTCTGTGTTTGCACCTTATTTTCTGTAACGAATCGCTTGTTGATAAACTTCGTGGTGGCTCCGCTGTCCACCATTGCAACTATATCTTTGTGCCGTCTTTCTCCTTTGAGGCACACCGGGATGTGGAAGTGCTGGGACCCGTGGTCCAACTCGTAAACATTCGCGGTCGCCAATACATTGTATAAATTGTTATTACGAGGTCCGATGCGTGCGGCACGAAGCGCGGACCGGATCAAAAACCCTCCTCCTTCATCGCCCAATAGTGTTCAAGCTCCTCGCGCATCGACTTCATCTGTGCTATCAAGTCCACCAGCTCGGAACTTTCCAATTTCGCTGAAGGAGCACTTGTACTCGCCGAGGATGAAGCGACGGGGGCGCTTGTCGCAGCCTGGGTGGAACCCGAGGCAACCATAGCCCGCGCGTCGGCGCGTTTTGTGTAAGGCTTGTCCTTACAATTGGGGCACTCGAAACGTCGGTACCCTTGCTTCCCACAGCCGAAGCATGTGCCGGGGAAGTTGCCTTTTCCGACAGCCGCATTGATGCTGGCCGAAGCTGCGTGGGATTGGGGTGCACCACCACGTGCCCCTCCATGTCCTCGGCCTCGAGCTGAGAAGAAGCTGTTCAGCTCGGGCCGTCGGGCCCAGCTGACATCGAGGATTTGCTCAACCTCGGTGGCGCGCTTGTCAGCGGCTTGCCACGTGGCAAAGGTCTCGAGCTCAATCTTTCAATAGACGCGGGAAGGGATGTTGCTCAGGTACTTGTCGCGTAGTTCCAGGTCCCCATACCCGGAATGGTCCGCCGGACCCTTGAACAGCGCAGAGAATTCTGCAGCGGTGTGCTTTTCTCGCACGGTTTTGTCAGCACAGAGCTTGGTGAGCTCTACCTGTGCCGCAGCGGCTGTCGCGACTTAGGGTCGAGCGACAGGGGAAACACAGACTTTGAAGGGTGCTGGGGGTGTTCGACTGGATCTTACCGAAGCGATGGTGAGCAAGGCTCAAACCTAAGGCTAGGGACAAGTAAGTTAGTATTTGAAAGGTAAGTAAGTACAGGGGCTTACTGACCTAGGGACAAGAGGTCGAAACTGAGGTCCCTAGGGCAGCAGAGGCAGGCTTATATACATGGGGAGATAAGGGCAGGCTGTGCGCGCTGGTCCGTGCGCAGCTGGTCTGTGCACAGCATGCCGATGCGGCCCCGGGGGCCGGTGAGTCAGAGCGGCTGTGTCAGTGGAGCCCGAGCTGTGCCGTGCACTGCCGTCCTATCTAATCTAATCATACAGTAGATAACGACGCGTCCATATTGGGCATGTAGTACAGAGGTCGCGGGTTCGAGCCCGCAAAAAGGAAAAAATCAAAAAACGGCTAGATGTTGTGTCAACTCGTGACATTGTGCATGCATCTTGCCATGATGACTGTCATTCATCCATGCAAAATGGACTATGTTTGTGATTTTTGACTTAAGCAAACCTTTGATGGATTTCATGAATGCATGACTTACAAAATGAAAGGAATGGGGTGGCCCCTGATAGCTCAGATACCTCCAAAGTGATTTCAGAGCGGTCTGATCCTAGACTTGAAGTATATGACTTATAAGAAGGTGAGAACAGTTGTATATTTTGACATGATATGCTCCTGCAATTAACCAAGAATTTGTCTGTATTATAGTATGAGTCACCTCTAGTCGCCACCGGCATTGATCAGAGTGCACACCCTCGGTGAGTCTGCGCTGCCAACCATATACGGACATGGATGACAGTCGATCCATATCTAGTATAACCCTCGGTCGGGCGCTATACATCTTAAAAAGGCATAATCAGGGTTCTAAACCCTACTAACCCACCTCATTTACAGTCTGTTCAGACTCGTTGGCATTGTTTACAGCCATCGGTGCCTGATTACGTTGTACTTGCTAGATGTGCATCTATATGGCAGAATTTTGGAGAGGAGAGACTAAGCACGACGCAGCTTTGTCTAGCTTATCATCCACCATTTATGCTTTAGTGCATTCGGCTGCGAATGAAGGCTGCCCATTGCGGCGACATCTTAGTATGTACTGTATCCAGGCATCTCTCGACGCCATTCGTGAAATTAGACAAGCAGTACCCATCATCGACGGAGAGGATGAACACCTACAGCGTTGACTAACGCTCAGGATCGCCACTGTACCGACGACCGTCCGTCTCGCTCTCGTTAGTGCCGCGGATGCTTGAAGAATGCAAGCGTATCATGGCGAGCATCCGGTCATGTGCCAAGATACACAATCGCTAGGGATGACTTACCACATTCTATATGACGTTAGTTCCACGATATGAGCGACAGCATCACCGTGGTTCGTGAACGTCAAGGTGACGGCAGTTACCGACAGTTCGGCGCCAGCAATCTCCCGAGCAGAGGTGGGCACTGAACCGTTCGATGACTTCGTAGGCGTTGTATTGGTCTAGTACGTCACTCTGATTAGCTGCGATTATATACACTCTGATCATTGGATATTACACGGGTGGTGATGTTCCAAGTCTTATTGAGCGCTTTCCTACACATTGCGTTCTGTGTGCCGTGTGGAACGTAACAATCTTGCAGGGCATGCTCCCAATCGTTGAGGCCCGTGCCGTCGCAATTATCTTCTAACCGGCTCGCATTGCAGTCCACCCTAATTGACGCGACCCTCTGGTGTTTGCTCACGGATTTGAGTAAGTATTGTTTAGTTCGTTGGGGCTATTGCAGGGGGACACGATCCTGAGGTACGCACGCCAACTCCATCTGTGCGCCCAGGGAATTCGTATAGATGGAATGCTATGGCTCGGCAGAGGAACAGACTGAGCGATGGCATGCGGCTCGCGGTGAGTCTCATCGAGTGGCACGGTGCGTCCATCGGTGGGATTCTGCCCGCTGCGTGGATGCAGTTGACTCATGACATTACATAAGGAATTGTACATAATACAAGAATCAATGGAGCGTTCTGACCTGTTTCATGTAGACAGCACGTTGATCCGTGACCGATCTCATACCGTCCAGAGGCTGTCCATGGTTTGCGTTGGCCAGGGGTATACGGGTCATGAATGACTACGTGCCAGTAAGCTGGACGTTGATGTTCATCTCCCTAAGGCTGGCAATGGGTAGTCGATTGGTCTGTCAGACGCAGGCGAAAGTATGAGAGCTCTTTGATCATCATCCACGAGATGGCAATAGGGCGTACCACGAGGACACAATCGAAAACTTGGGTTAATCTGCCGGCGAGGTATTCCATAGATGCCGCATATAGTATTGGTGTTCACAAGTGGACCGCAGTGTGTGCGGCCAGATAGTGAAGGATGAAGACGCCCTTGTGGCGTGAAACGTACATGTGACTGATTTGTCAAAAGGGACTCAAAAACCTGGTTCTTCCGAGACGATCTGGCTTGATCGTTGCTGCCTCAACATATTAACGGTCCACAACCAACCATATTCTTCGGAAGTGAAAAACGGGCTGAATCAGGACACTTTGTGCTTACCTTGACAAGGCAAGTTTATTGTTCTTTTTGAAACGTTAGGAGGAAGTACACGAGCGGCCGTGCATTTTCCATGTGCATCAAGACACTATAAGATGATCCGAGAAGCGTGGAAAGCCTGATTTATCGGGCAACATCAGTTAGTGAACGTGTTTGAGTACACACAACATCGTGGTTCTGCTGGCAGCTAATCATATTGATGGGCGTGTTCAACTTGCGAATGTGGACAAGTGGGATGATAGCGGCGGAGTAGTCTTGGGACCTGTCGTCGGATTGTATTGCGTGTAGGCTCTCAGACGTTACCTGTCAACCGTTATAGCTCCGCATAAGCGTTGAAGTTTCAATAAAAGCCTTCCAATGTGTCTTCGTACTCCAATCCAAGATGTGTAGGTGTGGCACGAGTCGTTCAGAGGCGACATTACCGAAGGAGTGCGGCCCGAAGTATCCAGCTGCTGCAACCAGCCCGAGTACCTACCAGGATAGGCAGGCGAGCCAAACAGGTCACACCGTGCGTTGCAAGTTGCCACTTACTGAATTGCTAAATGCTAATTTCGAAATGATGCTGAAACGCGATTTGTTGCGCAGAGCCCCGTTCCCCACTCAGGGAAGGCGCATGTTAATAGCTCCCGGGTCTAGTGTGCTCACCACTGGTAACTTTTCCGAACATTTCAGCCGATTCTATATTGTTAGGCAAACCAGAGAATATTTGTGCACAACCCGGGTCGGTGAAGAAATCGGGATCAACGGTCGTGACCATGGACCCGGCAAGGTATCGCCATAGCCCGGATAAAATAGAATCAGACATACAGTCGAATGCGGGGAAATCGAGATTAGGACTCACTTAATGTCGCTCATCGTGATATGTTTATTCTAGATCCTCGCCGTTCGCCTGAACCCACAAACGAAACGTGGAGACTATGTTGGCGCCAGCCACTTTCTCTGGCTCGTTTCTCTTTGAGGGAGGATGATCAGTCGCGTTGCCGAAAGTAGCAGCAAATTTCCACCGTATCCCGCAAGCTCGGAGGAGTTAGAAATGTAATTTGTATTAACTTATACAAAGTGCACTACTTCAGTCGACAGTCTACGCATGCGAGACCCAAGACTGTAATCAGGAAACTACGCCTCGACACACGTCGAGGCTACTATGTGATACAACAGCGACGGAGAAACCTTGCGACACAGCGATAGCAGGAATTAGTGTGGGGTGTGCGACTACATACACCTGAGGAAATACAAAAAGTTCGTGGGACTTAGAAATGTGGAACGAGAGCGCCATACATACATACGCCAGGTCCTCAAGCCGTCATCATTGGTGGCTAGACGGAGGCAAATTGCCTGCGGAGGAATGTTTAGCCCTGTGTCTCTGCGGAGGCAGCCAATGTATACTCACCAAACATGGTGTAGTCCTGCACATACATGGCCGACTGGTCACTTTGTGAGTTTCCGGCGTGTTGTGCCACCATGTCACTGATCACAGGCACGCCATAGGGCGCGTCCATTTGCCCCAGTGCCGAATAATCATTCCAATATTGCGCGTACCGTTGACCTTGTCTCTCAGGGTGACGTGTCATCCCCGAGGATATCCGCTCGTCTACAAGGCCCGTACTGTATTGTTGCGGCAACACAGACGTCGACAAGCTGCCAGCGTACGTCGGCAACGTGTTGTCAGATGACCATCTGTCGTACGAATGGTATGTTGATGACTCCGCCGGGGGAATTTGGAGGCTGCTGATGCTGAAGTTAGGATGAACAGGGCTTGGAGTGCCGACACCGGCGAACGCCTGCTGCTGTCGATACATCTGTTCGCTAGTCATCAGACGCGTGCTATCGTCTTCTTCTTGATCAAGAGGCTGTTCCGCAGACCGCTTCGGCCTGTCAGGGACGCGCGCACGCAATATTTCCGGGTCCGGGGCGTTGTGCAAGTTTACCTTCGAGCCCTGGAGCAGCTCCAGCGCACGCCACGCACTGCCCCATACGACGGACATGCGCTTCAGCACGTCCATCGTCTTGTTGAGGCCGACCCTCGCGGTCGTGTCATCAGGATATATCATGACTGATTGCCTCAGAACACATCGTGAGAACGACAGAAGAATGGAGACATCGAGACCACGCACGAGTGGCGACATGCATGATAGCAGCCGTGAACACGTAGTAGCACAGATATACCGGTGCGCGCCTCAGCGAGTGAGTCTCCGCGTACAGGGAAACTGTCAGATACGACCTCAGCATCACGGCGTCGGACGAATCTGGCTATGAATGCATACCGATAGAAGTAATCTGATTAGCAGCCTGAACGCAGATGTCGTAATTTTTCCTGGAGCTCGCGCGGGCTTCGGAGTCCTTCGAAGAAGACGAGGTTCTATGTGCATGATTGTCAGCCAGCGCTGCAACCATGGTAAGCAGGCACTCACGGCCGGTTGGAGCCATCCGTGGAAATGTGGCGAATGCTGCAGACAACGTCAAATCCGAACAAAAGCGACTCGTGCAGGAACTCACAATGGCCTGTGCAACAGGAGCACAGTGCACCAATATTGCATATGCAGTGTCAGGATGTGGGGCAGGGGCGCTGCATTCTTGGACGCAGCAGGGTCATGGCGGAGGTAGTCGGGCAGGTCAAGGTACCACTTCGACAGCAACTTCTCAAACCGAGAAAACTCCGACTGCCTGTAAACAGGTGCTTTAATCGCATACAGACACTGCATTATCATGCTCAGGATGATCGCTGTAACGGAACCCACGCTGCTTGTCAGCAGCGTCCACATCCGGGGAAAGAAGCTACCCACAGAGTTTCGCAGACTCGCTGAAGCAGGAGAGGATCCGGCCGGGCATGGGCGTCATCTCGGGGAAACTGGGCTCTTCGCTGTCGTCCACCACTGGGGCGGACGGATGAGGGCGCCATGTCTCCAGTTCATCGGGCTATTTACGGCACAGACGTCAGCATCCACCACCCCGCACCGTGATCCGGCACGCACCTCTTCCGTGCTTGGCAGCTCCGTGTCGAAGTCGCGCTCAAAAATAGCCACGGGGCGCCCTGGTCGGACGTCAGCTCCCATGCAGCCGCCGACGAGTCACGGCACACGCACCGATGTATGCGGACATGTACTTGTCCATGACGACACAGCCGTACCAGACCCGCCGCCGCTCCTGCAGTTCGCCCGGTGTGAACAGCACGCGGCCGACGCAGCTCCATTGGTCAGCAGTTTTGTGCAAACCCAGATCCTGCGCCATGCGCACAGCCATGCCGACGTAGAGCCACGCCTGCGCCATCGCGCCGATACCAACCTCGCGATAGCCCATGAGGAGCAGCGCCTGGCACGTGCTCGGTCTCGAGGCGGCATACGTGCTGTCTAGAATGACCTTCGCGTCTTCGAGGTACCGGTCGCCCGCTGCCCACATTGAGCCGGGCTGCGGAGGCGGCACGTCGCTCGAGGTTCTTGACGAGTAGCGCGCGGCGATGGAGAACATGGCCAGCAGCAGCACGGTCGGTACACGGCCCCGCCTGTTAGCAGGCGACGAGTTCGACGCGGGTGACGCGCCGTCGGAGACTTCGGAGTACGGTGAATCGGCAGACAGGACGCCGCTAACACGTCCGTATAGTAGTGAGTAACGCAGCATAAACAAACAAGCTAGTATGAGACATACCCGTTACGGAAATCTTCCATGAACGTTCGCTTATTCACGACCGGTAGCGAAGGGTGGACGTAGGTCCAGTACAGCTCGAGAAGCAGCTCTTGTGTCGCCTGATCAGGCAAAGTCGGCGTGAAGTTCTCCAGGCCTTTTGCATGCGTGAGGCCCGTGGGCGGCAGCGGTGGCCACACCCGCGCCTTGGGGAATTTCCTACACACCCAGTCAATCAGCCCCGCAGCGTCGACGTACCCGAAAAATCACCCACCAGATTCCGCCTTCATGCCGCCCGTCCTCGCGGTCCTTCACCCCGAGCAAGTGCAGCCCACTCATCTTTCCGTGGAAGCGCACCTGTTCGTCCTCGTTCAGGCTCAGCTGCCCTACCTCGATCGCGAGCTCATCCTCGCCCTCGCCCTCTTCGCCCTGCATCGCCAAGTCGGCGCCCTCGCCGTCCTCGTCCTGCATCTCCGGCGTGCGGCGCATCGCGTTCGCGCTCATGATCGACGTCACGCTCCCGCGGTGTGCGAGGAACGACGCGCTCACGCTCGCGGACAGTGGCGGCCGCCCAGGCGAGCGCGACCGCCCAGACACGGACGTCGAGCTCGGCGAGCGCGCTTGGCTGTCCTCACCCATGTCTGTGTCCAGCCGGCGCCTCTGCCGGCGGAACGACGCCTCTCCCGCGGAGCCTGGCGTCGCGCTCAGCTGGGCTGAGCCCGCGCTCGGCGGCTGCACAAGGTTTAGCACAGGGCGTGTGACATCGCCTGCGGGTGAGACGGGGTAGCGCAAACCGCCACTCGCGTCTGCAGACGCTGGCCGTGCCGCATCCTCACCAAAATTGGCTGCGACCTCCGTCGCGAGGAGCATGTTGCGGCTCGCCGCCGCGGCGTTCAGGTGCGCGATCACGGCGTCTTGCCACTCGTTTGACGGGCTTCAGGTGCGGAGCACAGGCAGCGTTTCGGAGGGAGCGAGAAGCATGGAGCGTCAGGAATGCGGTCCGGGTAGCGGGATATGCAATGCGACGTACTGTGTGGAATGCAAGCCTGACTCGTCGCGCGCCTCTGCGGATGGTCGTGACCGCCCCGTGGGCGCGGCCTCGCCACCCCGCGCGCGGCCCTTGTGTCCATACGGAGAGTTATCGACTCGGTTGATGATTTCCTTCGCCAGGGGGTCCTATGCAGCCGCAAACATTAGTCGCCCGCTCCAATAATGATCGGACACACAAGGAATGCACCGAAGGCACGGTGCACACATGCAGGGCTCGCCTTCGCCGCCTCTGACACGTAAATGCGCAAGTGGGTGACTATATGCGCGCGTTACGCGCACGCCAAACAAGCACATCGCGCTCCCGCGATCCTCGCGGACGCGGGGCCCTGGAAGACACGTCTTACCTAACGCACCGACACGGGCGGAGCACCAGAAGCCGATCGCCTTACGGCACGCGTCACAACCGCATGCTGCGCATCGATGGACGCGCCCAGTGGGCGCGTCCCTCGTCACACACGCGCCCACGCGCCCCCTACCGGCCCGGGCGGGAGATGGGACGACACTCACCTCGCTGATGTCTTCGAGCACGCTGCGTGCACGACTGTCCTTGCTCCCGAGCAGGATACCGATGAGCGCCTCCGTTTGATGGAGCCGTGCCTCGATCGCGTCGATGTAGCCCTTTGGCGGGCCACGCTTGCGCGACGGGCCCAGAAATGTGCACGCTATTACGAATCGTCAATATCACGGCGCATCTATATAAGGCAGGCATGCCGACAGCAGGCGGGAGACGCCGCGCGGCGTCGAGCACCGAGCCAAGTGGGGACTCACGCGTTCCGAGCATGACACAGTTGCGGCAGGGGTCCTGCGGGCTCCCGCGCTCGCACTTGCATTTGCTCTTGCGGCACTGGTCGCACGCCTTGCTGCTCCGGCGGCGGATCTGCTTCTCGCCCTTGGTGCCGGCACCATCGCCGTGAAGGCTTGTGCCGGCCTGACTGCCGTAGGCAGGGAGAGAGAGGCCGCCGAGGGTTGCGGAAGGGAGGTCGGCGAGCTCGTCGCCATCGGGGTCGTCGTAGTCGTCGTTGAGCTCCATTGCGGCGTGGTGGCCATTTAGGGACGAGGGGAGGGCGTAGTGCGCGCGGTCGACGGCATACTGTGTATGCGCGTGCGCGTGCGCAGCGTAGCCTGATGCGGAGGACGCAGAGGGGGCCGCGGCGGGCCCGGGCCACTGCTGCGACATGAAGGTGAAGGGCGCCGCGGGGGACGTGGGGGACGCGGAGGAGCCAAAGTCGGAGCCGAAGCGGAAGAGGGGGGCGTCCTGGGACTTGTGGTGCCGGTGCTCGTGGTGGGGGTGGTTCGAGTGCTGGTGCTGGTGATGGTGGGCGGCGGACGGGGCGGGGGGGAGATCGGGGGACTCCTCGAGCTTGACGGGGATGTGGTGGTGGTGGTGTGGGTGGTGCTGCTGGTGATGCGCGGCGGGCGCGGGGTAGGAGTGTTTGGAATACTGGTCATTGAATGAATAGCGAGGGGTGTAGGCGGGGGGGAAGGAGGCGGAGGAGTGGGAGGAGTAGGTCATTTGTGCAAGGAGGGAGGGCGGGGAGGGCGGTGGGTTTAAAGAGATTAGGCGGTCAGTGTTTGGCTTGGACTGGCAAGAAGAGGACCGACCAGGCGGAATGACGGAGGTGCAGAAAAATTGTTTGCGGAGACCGGGGGACAGCCGGCGAATGGCGGCGACACGCAAACAGCACGTTGTCTGGGGCCGTCGTCTCTCTGCGTGCGCGCACCTGCTGCTGCTGCTCGGCTGTGGCTGCTGGCGGTGGCTGCGGTGGCTGCCTGCGGCTCCTGCCCCAACCAGGTCCGCACAACCCGACGTCCGCTGATCCTCCCCGACGTCTCACTCAGATCAAGATCCCCGATCGCGCCGGCGCTCTCTGTCCCAGTCGCCCTCGCGTCTGTCGTCGGTCCAGCTATGCGCGCGCGCGTTCGTCGCTAGTCGAGGCGGGATGCGTCGTGGCAATACAGAGCAGTGAAGATCCTCCCCTCACCCACCGCCAGCCCGCGCCTCTCCCACTTTTGTCAGCGTGCCCACACCCCGCAGAACCTCTGATCTTCCGCCGCTTCTGCCGAACTCACGTGGCCCTCTCTCCGCACCTCCCACAGCCTCCTCTTCGCCTTCCCTTCCTCCCCTGCCTGTAGCTGCTGCCCGCGCCCGCACATCCATCTCATCCCATCACCTCCCACTCGTTCCCGCGCGCAGACTCCCACTCCCCGGCCCCCTCCCATACACGGCTAGCCGCCCCACCGGCTTCCGATCTGACTTCCACACACACACCCTTCGGGGTTTCACGGGACCGCTCCCAGCAACCGACGGCCCGCCCCGACGCTCCCCCCGGCCCCAGCCGACCGCTCGGCCGGGCTCCCGCGTGCCCCGCTCTCCCTCAGATTTAGATCTCGCCGCCCCCCTTCCTTTCGCACCCCGCGGCCCTCAAGCGCCGGCGGCCTGCGCCCACAGGAGGGGGCGGGCAGATCCCAGTAATAGTACTAGCCAGCGCACCCCGTGCGCAGCTGACCCCCGCAACGTCCGCGTTCAGGGCGGTCGCCAGCGCGCAGCGCACGCCCAGATGATGGTAGACACGCCCACACCGCTACGCTACGCCGTCCTCCTGCATTTGCAACGCCGCTAGCGCGCTATCGATGGCACGATGCGAGCCTCGCACTCTCTGCAATCCAGGCTGATCAGCACAGTACTGGCCGGGCCCCCTCGCCGTGGCACGCATCCTCCCCATCCGAGCCAGTCCCGCGCGCGGCTAGATCGCCGCGTCGCGTCCAAGCCGCAACCACCTGCACCTCTCGCCTGCCGCTTGGCGACCGCGAATGCGCGCACACGACACTGGGACGGTGCCGTAACACAGGCCTTCTGGCGTGCGGACGGTGTCCATCGGAACGTCCACCGTCACCGTCACAGGCTGATGCAGGCAGACGGTGGGCGACACGCACGGCGCAACAGAAAACAGAACGGCCCATGGAATTCTCGGTGCCGCGCTAGAAACCCAATCAATCCGAAGCACGATCTGATCGCGCGAGGGGGGTTCGGCCGACGGCCCGCCCCACCCGTTTACGGCACTCACCACCGCCGGGAATCCCTGCTCCCGTCCCGGTCGGCCAATCAGCATGCCCGCTCGCGAAAGACACGCCTTACAGTCAGCAGCAGAACCTGGTTGCCTTGATTGGCCGTATCCCCATTTGGCCTGTATCCGGTGTCCATCTTCCCTGTTCCCTCTTCGTCACCAGGTACTGGAGCGGGTGCGCAGCATCAAGCATCTCGGCACTTCAGTGTGATGGCGAATCTCGCAACGGATTTCTTGAACGCGTGCCTAGACATGTTTTCTGCAGGGCGAGGAGCTTGGCGCTAGGGCCGTGTGACGTTCGTTGCGCCCGTCGATCGTCGTGGGACGCTATCTCGATCGCCTGCCCTGGCTGTACTACTATACACCCACTAGCAGCCGCTGGCAGCGGATGCAAACCACTTGACAGGCTCACCCAGCCCCCCGGGCCAGTGCCCTCGCAAATACCGCATTTCAGAGGAGCACAGTCTTGAGCATAGTTTGTATGCCCACCGCTACACGTTAACGAGGCACTGGCACGCAGGACGCGAGCTGGTCTTGTACCCGCCGTATCCACACTTCGCCACCACGGAAAGTGGTGTGGTTGTTGCCCGACAAGCGCCACATGTAACGGTCACGGTACACTGTTGATTGCGGTACCGCATCGCAAGTCGTACTTGAGATTTGCAGCTCACTCGGAAACATAGCATGCAGTGATCAGTCCCATGATGCATTGAATTGAATAGAAATTGAAATAAAACAGCGAGTACACAGACTGAGTATTGCAAGGAAGAAAAATTGCACAAAGATCGGGTTCAAGTTGATTAATCAATCTGCTCATTTTGTCTTTCAATCTTTCTTCAGGTTTCATTCTTCGTTCAGTTCTTACAATGATAAGATAAAATAGATGCTTTTCACTTAGAGTTTGCCTTCATTTGATCTTTTGGACAAGAAAGTCAATCCGTGAATGCAGTGTCGGTCCATCCGTGAGTACCATATTTGGCAACACCAAAGCGTCGTACTGTGACCGTTACATACGGACGCTTGGAGTCGCGGTAGCGGCGAGGGCGCGCCGCGGCAATCGACAGCACCATGATGGGCATGGCATTTCCGACTACTGCCACCGAGAGAGGCTAGTGTTTTATCTGATTCATTGAACTTCTGTGCCTCGGGATCGCCACGATCAGGCAAGGGCTTGTTGTTTGCTAGCACTCCTCATCCTTGTCCTGAAGTTTCTCGACGTGCGGCACAGGTTCCAGTATTCTTGGGGGGTTTGCGGCTCCCGGCGCTACGCAGACGTGCTTCGGACAATTTTGCGCTCCACACTCGGTGCCGCAAACTTGACGAATGTCTCAAGACCGCTTCCATTCAGCGCCGTTAGCCCCGCTGTCGACAAGCTGACGCGTGGTCGTAAGCCAGCTGTTCAAATGTGCGTGACAGATGATTTATGAGCCATAATACTAGTTAGTCCCCTGCGGCGGAGAAGAGCAGCACCTGTCGTAAAATAAACTAATATGCATCACTTGAGGTACTCCTCCTACCAGCCGTGCCGTTAACGCCTCCTGAGCACTCGCAGTGCGAGTGACATAACCGTAACGCCTGATGGCAAGCCCGAGGATACGACGGCCCTGCCCAGTGCACGCATGATCGTACATAGCCGTTTCAGGCCGTCTCCCTCGGACAACGATCCACGCCACCGCGTGGCGCACCACACCCCAGTGCGATCGGCTGCAGAACGCTCTCCCGCCCCGTTTCAAATTCGCCTGCAGGCGCACCCACCAGATCGTGCCCGCGCGTACGATCTCGGCTGTGCCCGTTCTAGTGCGCACTCGGCACCGCGGGCCTCGCTCTGCAGGGTGCACTCTGGTCTGCGGCTAGTGGTGTGGACGCACAGGGGAGACGCGCGGGGCTTTTAGTCGCGCGGGGCAGGCGTACGCCAGAGTCTGGTTTGCCGTCCGGCGCAGCCTGCAGGGCCTCGGGAAGGGCGGTGGCGTTCCTGGGCGATGGCCTTGCGTTTCAACCGCCAGAAGCGCACAGGCCCAAGCGACGCGTCCGACGGAGGAGCGCAATGTCGCGGAGACGCACGCACCGGGACGCGTTTGTCAGACTCGTCCTTCCGCCAGCGCCACAAGGACGGCGGTACATGGATGCCATGTCTCCCGAGACGTCCCGGTACCGGCCACTGCAGACACTGAGATGTACCGGGGCTGCTGAAAATGAGACGGCCTAGAGGCCGTAATGCCAGTTGGATCATACGCGACTTCATCGGCTGGCCGACCCCGTCTGGGCGAACTTTGTTTTTTACCCCTGGCGTCAGCGTTGAGCTCGGTCAGTTCTTCGGCGTTCTTCGGAGTTTATGAAGGTCCCTTGACGTGTATGTGTGGACAGCTCTATCACAAATCTTCCTTGCGGGATGAAGTGTCTGAACCTTCAGTAACGGTTCGTCAAGCGTACAATGTCAATGCCACCCGGAAAATAGCGGTCAGATCAGGCGCAGAAAGGTATCCAGTCATTGAGTAGCTGCATCTGGCCCAATTGCCTTCTCACAAATGCCGACCACAGCATACTGGGTGGTCGGCAGACCCCCCTCCCCCCCAAGCTGGCACTCTTGCTTGATTGGCCCAGGAGCCAAAATGGTTCATCGGATTGTGAACATCCCGAGAGATTCCAGGGAATCCTGCTCTCTGATTGACGGTAGGTCACGCCTGCCGACTTGAGAGGTCTGCCGGCTACCCAGTATGCCACAGTAGGATTCGTCTATTGGGCACCGATCATTCGCCCCGCGCGCTTATGTTCCCTTTAAGAATGCAGGTTTACTGCGGTCAAAGGGCGGTGAGTCAGCGTTACTGGATCACTTGATTCTGTCCATTAAATTTCACAACATGCTGAGCAGTCATCGTGTCCGTCAGGGAAGGCCGAACATATCGAAGCACAGTCTAGACATGTCATCACTCCGTTCTCACCGTTCTCAGCCTCGAGCATCATGTACGGCACCATTGCGCGACGGTGGAATGATGCTGCGCCCACTGCGCAGAGCCCACCCGAAGATTTCTATTTTTCATTCTCCACAGTAAATTTTCATGCGCAGCATAGCGGGAGCAAAGATTGCAGCGCCCCTTGGTGCCATTGCCTAGATGATGGCCATTACGACGAAAGCGCGACGGCAACTAGGAACAAAGGTGCACGGTATGCGCCTGCCGACACCATCGCGGTGTCCGCCCCCATCCCCCAGCGCCAGTGCAACAAATGGTCGTGTGTTCAAAATAGTTTGCAACCACTTAGGTGGGCTCGGCCGTGTCCACCTGAGAGTCTATTCGCGCGCCCGAGATCCGGCTCGATACCAGCTCTGACGCAGGACAGCGCGCAACCGTGCTCGTGTGCGCATGAAATCACATGGTCACATAAGGAAGACCGTCAGAGTCCGGGGCATTGGCTTTCCAGGTGCAAGTCGTGCCAGGGACGGTGCGCGCTCCGGATCGGTGTGTCTCAGCTGCACCGGGGCGCGCGGGCGAGAGACCCCGGCAGTGCGAATGGCGCGTCTCGCGTATATGCGTAGGCATCCCTGCTGCTATCCAGGGTACGCACCACGCGAAACACACAACATCTATACGTATACGACCTTCTGCCCCCAATGCGCTGCGTCGTTCCCTTCCTAACGCCACGGACAAGATCCGAGCGCAGTCGCAGAATGGAGAGAACCTGCTATAGACCGCTCTTCGGGGTGTTGTGACCGGGGTCGGTCGACGAGACGGGCCTGGCCGCTGTCGAGTCCTGCCGTCGGGCTCCTTCGAATGTGTTCGAGATGCACAGACGGTGGTCAGCTGTGGGGGCGTGCGCCCCGCGGGCCTTCGCGACGGTCGTTCCCGCGGAGCACAGTGGGAGGAGCGCAGGACGTCCGTGCGATCATCGTACCCCACTTGGTCCGAGGGCCCCTCGAAGCTCGCGTGCTCCGTGCTCCTGGAACGCGCGAAACGCAGCCACGAACTCGCGAGATGCAGCCACGCTTCCCACGGGCTCCACAGCGGAAATGGCTCGCTGGCACACGCCGGCGTCGAGGCGTGTGCCCCACTCCTGCGTTCGCGTTCGTCCCATCGTGTCGAAGCACGCCCGGATCTAGCCGTGGGAGCTGATCGGCGGCGGCGCACGTTGCGGGGAGCGAGGGATCCTAATAGTGCTGCGAAGGATACCACGCACACGTACCGCCTGTGGGAAGCCTTGGATGAGGACATGCGCTGCCCTGGCCAATCATATGCGACTAGTTTGTCGGGCATGTCGTGTTGTGGGCCGTATATCTTGCGTCATGTTCAAAGCAATTCAGACACGATTCAGACGGCAGCAACCTGCGTGATCCCTCCAATGCAGAGCATGGCTATTTCGTAACCGTAGCATAAACACACACAGCACGTCCTCTCGTGCACCAGATAGGAAACTCGTCAAGTCCCAATATGCCACGAGAAAGCTAGCTGCGTACCCTCCACGCGTAGGCGTTATCGAAGCTTACCAGAACATACCTGATGTCATTGTCTCCCGGACGTGCTGTGGGCATCCTGTGAGCTTCTCCCACGTCTCACTCGCCAACATGCTAATATTCCTTTGTTGTCTTGGAACTAAGCTGCATCAGGGCCGTAAGATCAGGCCAGACCACAAGATATCTGCTCGTGGATGCGACGTCTCATTCGTGACGCGCTGTCATCTAGCTTCATTTTTGACCGACTGACTGCATTAGAGAATTCTGAAGCAGGTGGTCCCGACTCCGTGCCTGAGTGAGGTTTCTTGGTTCGCGAGACCTGGACCGCTGCCCGCATTGTTCTGGAAAGGGACGCGATGATGGCCTTCGCAATGAATTCAAGATGTTGCACTTGGCTGTAGTCCCAACTGGTCTTGCGCCTTCGAGAACATGGCAGATAGTGGTCAAGGATCATGGCGACGCATAACCCATTGATTAGGATTACTCTATTGTCTCTGTGTAGGCAGGGCTGTTATACTTCACGAGGCGTTGATAGCACGGGCACGTACCGAGCTGCATCGTTTGCGCCCCTCGTGTGTTCTTGAGCAAGAACGTCCCCTGCAACAGAGGTGTCCTGCGCCCGGTGCCTCCGCAAACCCAAACTAATTCGCATCATCTTGGCCGGCAGCTGCTTCAAGTTTCGTCATGTATGCACCGAGGTTGATGGGAGCATCTCCCCCACAGCCCATCGTCAAGCACAGAGTGACAAAGGGAACAGTATGCGCAAGCATTGTCTGCGTTCAGCGCGGAATGATGGTCATTCAGTGCCGCTATGCCCCTGCAATGTCGACTGGTAGCGTGACATAGCGTGAATTGCATTGCTAACCTGCGGTATCTCAACGCAATACGTGTCCGCGGCGATTGCCTGTCACTTCAATGGTGTCCAGCACGACAGGAATATGATGAAGATGTCTCATGCGCTGCCATCGAGCAGTTGCGAGCAACCAGCATCGAAGCTGCAAAGCGCAGCCAACCTGTCTTCCTGACAAGATATCCCTTGAATCCACACATCTGTCACTGGCATACAGAGAAATACGTTGACCTATTCAACCACATGTACAAAAGAGTTCTCCATTGACCCTGTCGATTAGCAGTACACTAGGCCCCGCCAAGTAGTTTTGTGCTCTTACCCGGCAACAAGGCGGTTCGGATGGTGTGAAGCGAGATACTCGTATGATCAAAGGGCACGATTACCTTATTTGCCATGTGGCAGCTCCTATATTTTACGCGACACGGGTATCCCACGTTCTCTCGCGATAAGCATGAACCAATGACTCAGATTTCCTCGCCTCTAAATGAAAGACTAGATCTTCCAGAGAGGAGTAATTCGGCACATCATCATGCATGGGTCCATGTTGGTCCGGGTCCATGTGGCGACAGTCAACTCCGGCTTTCCCTATTGCGGCTAATTGTGGGACGCGCGGTGCGGGAAGATGGTAACTGGCGGCGGCCTATCATAATGCGCTATAAGCTTGCCGCTGACTCGGAAGCAGAACTCCAGTACAAGGATCGCCAACTTTATCTTAACATACTATGGAGCCGCTGCTATGATGTATAGGCCTAATAGTTCCCATGACTGGCTAAGTCTACTTGACCTGGCAATCTAACCTCACATCCAGCCTCCAAATCGCCAGTTACATGCTGTCCGATCCGAACGCCTCAGAGTTGGATCCTCTGACGTTCGAGGCAGATTCCCAGCATCGACTACACATCGGAAGACGGCCAAATGATTCCCAACCACGAGTTCCTATGTGAGCGTTGCGCTCGCACAACGCGTTGATTGTTACTAGTTACCCCTGTCGCCTCGGCATCCTAATCTATTACCTTGCGGTATCGAGCCGCTTGACATCGTCCAGCCATATTCCCTCCGAGCGGCTATGTGACACATCTCAATCTAAGCTCATTACGCGCACATGCAATAACATGCATTCGCGATCAATTGTCAGTTCAATTGCCCTAAGTGTATCGACATCTGTAATCGGTTTGTCTTGACTGACTCTGGCGGGAAACTTCACGGTGTAGTTCAACCTGTTCCGTCTCGCGGACTACCTCGGTTGCCTTCTCACGAGATACGAGGACCTGGAATGGGTCTACGCATGTGTGGGGGCACAAATATAATGCCCTGGCTCCGTCCTGCAGGCGAATCAACCCGTGCAATAGCCTGCCTTGCTAGAGTCTGTATCATCCTCGAGTCCTTGACAGCGCCCTCATGAGCGTTGACAATCGCCCCAGACTGCCAGTACTCCCAGTGCTCCTGCTGCAAAATGCATTCCTGTCAGCACTCATTGCCATCCGCCCGAAAGCGCCTATCAAGCTAGCGGCATTCGCAATATACACCTACAGTCTCGGACTGGTGCTCACCAGTACCACCGGGGATCTTCAGCAGAATTATTCTCTTGGCTGCTCCTTCGCATCGCAGTTCTTCACCGCATTTCATCTCCTGTGGCTCGCGGATCCCTTGAACGACCTGCGCCACGAGCGCGACCACACTGCGCCTCCAGCACTACCGTTCCTGCGCAGAATGTATTGGGCATCATGCGTCATCACTGGCCCACGCGGAGTAGGATGGAATTATCAGGTGTGCACCTCGTTGTTCTGACCCCTCCAGCGCTCACGCGCCACCCAATTCGCTCCGCTCCAGGTCGCAAACATACCTCCCCGTCCAAGCGAGCCACGCTGGACGTTTGTGCGCCACCAGTCGCTGTGCGCATTCAGATGGTACCTGCTCGTCGACCTCGCACAGACCTACCAGCGCTCCAACCCATCGTTCTCCCATCATGATGCCAACCTGTTCTCCTTGAGCGCCCAAGGTTACATCCAGCGATGTATCAACATCGTCGCGCGGTTCGCCCCAGCGTATGGGATGATCGCCATGCCCTATTGTCTGCTCTCCGCGCTGTCCGTCGCCATGGCTTGGTCATTTCCCAGGGACTGGCCCACCATGTACGGAGAGTGGGCCGACGCATACACGCTGCGGCGGTTCTGGGGGTGAGTTCTCAGTCACCACTGGCCTAGGGCGTTCGGGACGCTACAGACGCTCATACACACGTCTTTGCGCAGGCGCACCTACCATCAGTTGCTACGCCGTGTACGTACGCTGTTCGCACGCTCGCCTTCTTCGATCCGCTGATAGCCATGGCCGTATGATGTGATGCGCACAGTACACTGCGTCAATGGGCAAGGCGTGCTGCCGCCTGCTGGGACTGCGCCAGGGCTCCTGGGCGTCGTCGTACACGCAGCTGTATGTCGGCTTTGCGGTGTCGGGCCTGATGCATTGCGGCGGCGACTTCATGGTCAGCCCGAAGCTGTTCGGCGCATCGTTTCCGTTCTTCATCGCCCAGGCAGCGGCGATCTCGCTCGAGGACGCGGTCGTTGGCTTGGCGAAGCGGACCGGTCTGCAGGCGCAGTGCCCGGATGGCCTAGTGCACGCGCTTGGATATGTGTGGGTTTTCGTGTGGCTGAACATGTCGGTGCCATGGTACCTCAACTGGTTGATGCGTGCGGGGGTGATTGATACGAGTCGGATGCCTTTCTCGCTGGTGACGATGCTTGTCCCTACTATCACGACTGGCGCGGCGCGGTTCCTGTCCTTGATGGCACTTTCTGTAAAGGCGTGACTGTTATGGTCGCAGAACATTTGTTCTATCTATATAGATGATCACATCTTCTTCATTCCACTATTGTGGGGGGTCTTGCAATTCTGCGAATGCTCGTCGACGGGATCAGGAACGGACCGAATTTATATCCGGCTGGGTTCTGTTTGTCTACTGCCGCTCAAATGTGTACATCAGTGTGCTCGATCCAAAATATGTAATACAGGCTGCAACACGAGCATCAGCTACACTCGTGCGGGGCACGGGCTCAAAACCAACTTACCAGTTTCATAATCGTACATAACCCCCCTCGACGCGCCTACAATCGCGCCGCAATCGTCTCCACCGCACCGCCGTCCCGCTCCCGCTCCTTCTCCAATCGCTCCCTCTCCTTCCGCGCCATGATCGCCTTCCCCGCGCGGCTCTCGTTCCGCCGCCCCAGCCGCCCCGAGATCCACGCCCCGATCTCCGCAAGCGCGTCCAGGTCGCCCGCCGCGCTGTACCGCCGCCCGCCGCCGGCGCCCCCGCCGTGCCCGCGCAGCGCGTACAGCACGTCCTCCGTCGCGACGTTCCCCGTCGCGCCCGGCGAGTACGGGCACCCGCCCAGCCCGCCGACGCTCGCGTCGAACGTGCGCAGCCCCAGCTCCAGCGCCGCAAACATGTTCGCCACCCCCGCGCCGTACGTGTCGTGGAAGTGGCCCTGCGCACGCGAAATGAAAATGCCCCCGTGAGCGCGTCAGCGGGACGGAACCAACGAGCATGCGCACCGCGAGCTGGGCCGGCCCCACGCCCTGCGCGCCGCCCATCACCGTCTCGAGCAGCGCGCGGATGTCCGCGGGCGTCCCCGCGCCGACCGTGTCGCCCAGGCTGACCTCGTAGCAGCCCATGTCGAGCAGCGCGCGCGCGACGTCCCGCACCTCCTCGGCGCGCACGCGGCCCGTGTACGGGCACACAACGACCACGCTCACGTACCTGCGCGCGGGATCAGCGAGCCTGCAGCGCGTGCGGACGGCGAACGTACCCTCGCACGCGCAGGCCCGACGCGCGCGCGCGTGCTGCGACGGGCGCGAGCCGCGCGAGCGACTCGGCGACGGTGCAGTTTGTGTTCGCCTGGCAGAACGCGTCCGTCGCGGCCGTGAAGAGCGCGATCTCGTCCGTCAGCGGCTGCGCGGGCGGCAGCGGGGGCGCGGCGTGCTGCGGTCTGCTGACTGGCGGGTTCTCGGTGCTGAGCAGCGCGAGCAGCGCGTCGAGGCCCTTCATGTTCGGCACGAGGACGGGGT